CCCGGCACCCTGCCCTCCTCCCAGACCCTCTGCCCACAAGCTGCCCAACACCCTCGCCTCTTCCTGCTCTCCTGCCCCCACGTCCAATGAGTTGTCAAGTCGTCCTTTCCCACTTTCATCAGACCTCTCGATTCCACCCCTTCTCTCCTCACCCCTGGACTAGAGGTGGGGGTGGCTCTGGGGCCTCCCAGCTCTCCCCTCTCTACTCAGCTATTAAACTCATTTTCCTAAAGCACACGCGGGACACATCACCTCCCTACAAATCAATTCCAGGCTCCCAATTTCTCCAGATTCAAAAGTAAAATCCTCTGGGTGGGTTTTCAGGCACTCTAGAAACTGGCCCCTTCCTACCTTTCCATTCTTCTTACTCCTTTCCCAACTCCTTGACGTGCTCTGGGATGCAGGGATACGAGCTTCCTGCCTGTTCCTTGCTCTAAACACTCCAACCTCCCACCACCAGGTGTTTGCACTGGCAGTTCCCCATGCCTGAAATGCCCTCCCTTCTCATCTCCAAGTCTCAGCCTCCACAAGAAGCCTTTCCCAATCCCCCTGAATCCCAGTGCCTTCCTCTTTGTTGGTTATTTCCAGCTGGTCCAGAGCTGTGGCATCTGGTCTCCCTCATCAGATTGTGAGCTCCCTGAGGGCACGGGCTTCTTGCATCTCTTGCTATCTCCAGCACTTAGCACAACACCTCACACATAGTAGGGGCTTAAAAAATGCTGGCCTGACTTGTCATAACTACCTAACCTCTTGAACTATTTCCTTTTCATAGGAAAACAGAAAGATCATGGGCTCAGAGGGCCCAGGTTCAAATCTTATCTCTGATCTACTACTTGGGTAATCCAGGGCAAGTCACTTAACCTCCATGGGCCTCAGTTTCTTCACCCGTAAAATGATGGGGTTGAAGCTGATAGCCTCTGAGGTTTTTTCTGAGTCTGACTGGAAGATGGCAGGTCAGGCAATGCAGATTACCACAGGGGCGGGGGAATCCTTGATCCTGCCTCCCACACGAACCCCAAGGCCTCCAGCAGAAAGCATGGGGCTGGGCCCGAGCACAATGGGCGGCTGGCCCTTGGCATCTGGATGATCCCTTGGCCCAGCCCCAGTCCTTCCCGAAGTTTCTGCATTTCCCAGGCTCTGGGCCAATCCGAGAAATAACAACGTTATCTCTGGAGGAAGGACACAGCCCAAGCAGGCATTCCACGGGACCCCCATTGGCTGTGTGTGATGGAAGTAGCCACAGAGGCTCCCTGGCCAGCTGGGGCCTCAGCCTGAGGAAGGCAGAACTGTGCTCCAGCCCTCAGCCAGGCGGCCCCTCTGCACAGATGAACCTCAGCCCTTTTCTGCGTAGAATCCTGGTTAGGCGATAGAAAAGAAAATGCTGAGAAGGTCATGGCTACAGAGAAGGCTCTTGTTCTGTGCATGTGGGAGCAAGAAGGGCCCAGAAGAGCAGAGAAGACTAACCAGAACAGAATCCCTACGGCCAGGAGTGAAACAAAGCTTTCAAAAACCAAGGAGAGGAGTGGGGACCATCAAGCCTGTGGCCTCTTTTTCAGTCCTACTATCCTGTTGGATGTTGTGTTGCGGGCCCGCCCTCAGAAGACGCTGACTGCTCTCTACTGGGGGTGGGGGGTGGTGAGGAGATGACCCAGGCTCTGGCACAGAAAGCAGTCATCATTACACTAGGGGAAAGAATATGGCCACACAGCCAGGATTCCAGAGCCACACAAACTTGAGAATAATTTTTATCAGATGATACCACTGCAAATACTCCTAATGCCAAAGTCCATGGAAGACGGGGAGAGGAAGCCATTTACCCTGTCCTGTCTGCTCCTGGGGGTGTCCCTGGGGTCCTTTCACTGGGTCTGCAAAAGCTGAGCCTACATCCCCAAGCGCGGGCTCAGTTACAAAGAGCAATCGTCCATCCACCAGCAAACTATTCAGCAAAATGACTTGTCCTGGGACCCGTTATCTCCGAGCTCTACCCGAGGTCCAGAGAAGAACAAGATCGAAATCATAACAGCAATAACGATAACAACAACAC